TGAAACCGCTTAAAACAGCTGATCTCATGGAGAGGAACTATTATTTCTAATAATATTACCTATATCTCTCGTAAAAGAGCGTTTCTCGCGCTGACGAAACCTTCAGATCTCTATCTCCATATTCCGCGAGTTAATAATTAGCAACTCGCCTTCGGCTACAATCTATAGATAATAATCGAATCTCCGCAATTTGCATTCTGTTTATATATGTAGGAAACCTTCTGCTTCTTGTCACTTGTAAGAAAGTTACGCTCGCGATGGATGGATCTGGGACGTGTTCTATGACGTCAACGGTGATAGTAAAAACACGATAACATTATATGACTATGACTCCTCTCTCGATGATACACACGTATCAATTCAGTATTCAAGGAATCGATTAATTCGCGTCTTCGTGAGAAAAGGAAATCCAACCTCGCAAATACATAAGATAGATAAATACTTTGTTAAGTCTTGCTGGCAATTACATTGCCAATTATCAACAAGGATTTATAGAAATAGAATTTAATAATGTACACTGAAAAAGAAGCTACTGAATTCAAATCAATATTTATTTAAATAGTTCCATTTACACATTAATTTGAAGCAAATAAATATTTATCTGAAAAAGAATTATGTCAAATAAATATTTTTTCACAGCAAATCAATATTATTAATTTCAAATAAATGATGTATAAGACTATTTGAAATAAATATTTATTTGGATAATTACAAATCATTTCTTTTCAGTGTGTAAAATCGCTTATTTAATAAACATTATGACTCTTCATAAATTTTCCAATAATGATGAGAAAATATTCCGCGTAACAAAGTTTGATATCCTTCAGAAAAAATACATTACCTTTTGCAAGTAATTATATACCGAGTGATTCGCGATTCGTGACGACTTCCCGGACTGACGAACGGCTTGATCGAAATCGGCAAAATCGGTGCCGACAACGGAGATAGCGGACGATACTCGAATGATCGTCGATTGCGAAAGATCCGCGACGTTATCCAGCCGTATCGGCGGATTACGAAAACGGCCGCGTCCTTCGAGATCCATCGAGTCGTCGTCTTTGGCTTTCTCGCCCTCGAGGCGAGATCGTCAAAGTTGTCCTCTTCACGCCTCCCTTCCTCTCGATCGTGAATTTCGCCCCCGGGGAGAGAGACACCTTTCCCTTGTCCTCGAGAAATTCCACGGCGATTAAACGAGCCGAGAGCGTCAGCGGAGTTTTTCGACACGATCAGCTGATTGCTGTCAAATCAAACGTCAAAACGAAAAACGTGGAAAAATAAAATTGAAAAGTAAATTAGTTTAGTTTAAATTTCACAGACAATCATCAACGGTGCGAACAGCCCCTCTCTCTCTCCTTCGTAACCTCGAGGTTATAACGATTTTACAGGAGAATGGCGCCGCGCAAAACACAGTTATACCGCTAACGCGAATCGCCAAATGGGCCATTTCTTTCTTCTGGCGCGAGAAATTCGACCGCGCGGCGTTTCCCTTAAGTGCACTCTCGTCGGTCGATGGTTTCTTTTTTCCTCGCAACAATGGCGCTCGCGCGAAATTTTCACACGTCACATATACCGTAACTGGGTCCCAGGAGCGAGCGTATAATAAACATGACAACGTGTACATACAATAACGTATATATACGTACGGCCGTCGTAACGTCATAACGGCAGTGGAGCGTTCCACGTGGAGGTCGTCAATTTACTTTCCATCCATCTCCGCAATTGGTCGCCTATCGTAACAACCCGCTGACGACGACGACAATGTTGTGTTTTCTCCTCTATATTTGTATTCCATCTTTATGCAACACGAGCGCGAATGGCAAAACGGACTATTGCGCGGGTAACGTGATTGCTCCGATAATGCAAATACAAACTGCATCGCTGCAGCCTCCGCCATGGCCTGGATTATTTTCGCGATCCCATTTTAATTGCGAGAGGGAGCTTTCGCGCAAGAAAGACAATAATAATAACCGTGCTGGAATCCGCTGATATTTAAACGACGATCGCGTTTTAATCGCAAAACTCGATTGCGTTTCGCTCGTCTATACGAAAATATACATATATCTTGTCGCCCGAAATTTTCTATTTTACAGAAGAATTGGTGACCTTAGAAGAAGACTCTTTCATCATCCCTCCTGCAAAGCGCTTCTCCTTGATATCTACGATGAGCGATGCATCTCATTACCAGCGACCAAATGTCTATCCGGTCGGCCTTCACCCGGTTAACTTTGCTCTGTCGTCGAAAACTCAATCGTAGAGAGAGAGAGGGAGACCCTCACTTGAGAAACGCGTGTTCACATTCCACGGTTCACATCTTACATATGCGACATGACGGTGAAAGATCAACATTAGGTAGTTATATTCGCGAGTAATGAAACAGCCACGGAAATTTACCATCACAATGGCGACAGACACGTAGAGGGAAATGTAGGACAACACGAGTGAGGTGTCCGTGTGTCGCGTGCGCTCACACACACACACATCTGAAAAATACAATTACCAGGATAATTGCTAGAGAATTAGCGCGCAAGCGGACGGACGAGAAGAGTATTAACGAGACGCGAAATAATTTAGTCCCAGCTTCTCGCGACAGCAAGTGGTACATATATATATATATTTTCTTCTCTCTATTCTTTCATTTTCCCCCTGTTTTTCCTTCTTCGATGCAAAAGTATACGATTCATCTTCCGCGAGGTATTCGCGGAATCTCAAGGATGTTTCCATCCGCGTTCATCTCCGATGGCGAAGCAGGAGCTATGTATAACCGGCATACATCCTCTCGTCCGCGAGTTCTTATATATACACAATGTACTCTGCCGATAGCGCGAGCCTCGTTGAGCGTTGGCGCGTTTAAAAACGCCGAGAGACGACGAGAGCGGCGTATAGATTCTTATATATCCGTGCCAAGGATAATCGCGCGAGTCAGTCCCTGGCCATGTGGTTCCTCCTCTCGCACGCACGAGGATTCCCTTATCTAACGCTCTCGTGAGGAGACGAGTGATTTACGAGCTCGATGTGGACCGCACTCTTTCGATTACACATGCAATACATACATTTTCAGCCTCGCTCTATGCAAGAGATTTTAAGGTACTATTCTACACACAGAGAGAATTTTCTCTTAGAATTTATCTTGAAAATCATGCGGTAATTGTTGGACAATATGGTATTGGAAGAATTTTCTAAGAGTTTCTCTGATTAATATTTACCACAATAAAAATATTATAATATGTACATAGTAAAATTTACTACGTACATAGTAAATTTTACTGTGTACGTATTATTTCTTTTGATAAATATTAATCAGAGAAACTCATGAGATTTTTCCAATACCATATTGTCGCACGATTACCATGATTTTCAGGGTAAATTTTAAGAGAAAATTCCTACACTCCGTGTAGGGATCAAAATATACATATGGGTTCAAAAATGCTTCTCCTCCGAGTTATAGTTCCCCCTAAAAGTTGAGAGAAAAAAAAATTGAAAAATGTATTATAGCTCTCGAAGACTTTATAATTAATAGCAAATACTTCATTTTGTGATTTTGACAATTTGATGAGATTTTGAGAGGCTGCTAATTTTCATTTTTGAACCCATGTTTATAGAAACTTTCTTTCTTATTTTGATCCCTTAAAATCTCTGACGTAGTTTTAGAAACACCCTGTATAGCACGGACATTCGAAATAGACCCTCGTGAAAAATTACGCCGTGAAAGTCGCGTTTTATTTTGCAAAATATATATATATATCGCGACGACGATACTCCAGATGACATCCATATCTGCGCGACGAAAGATGCACTTTCGTTCCCGTCCACCTTTCCGCGTTACAAAATAACAGGTGCACTTTAGCGTGCGCAAATTAAACCGTTTATACGCGGATTATGCATTTTAGACTTCTGTTTCAAGCACCCCCGTTTTGTAATCCGGCGCTAATCCGACGCTGCCCGCTTTAGTTGAGCCGATTTCCTCGCATACGTTTCCCGTCCCCGGGTGTAAACCGACTAAAATTTGATATCCCGCGTTAGATATCCCGCGCATATAATATTACGTAACGCGGCGCAAATGCGGTATCGACACATCGATAATACCTTGATATGTCTCTAACACCGCGCTTCCTCGCGCTCGCAAAAAAACAAGGGACGATAATTAAGAATCTTTCTCTCTCTCTATATATATATATATATACCAATATATATACGCGAGAGATAATCCTCTCGGCGCGGAATAACATGTCATGGCAATGATACATCGTATTTTGTGCGCGGGCGGAACAAGCTTAAGCCGATGTAACTCGGAAATTCCCTAAATTAGACCCAATCTCATTTGCGCGCGCCTGAGCAAGGCTCGCCAAATTCCCGGAGCTCTTCTGAAATCAAAGTAAATTCCTGCCGAAGCTAACCTCGATTTATATAGGGGGAAGAGGAGGAGAAGGGGCCAATAGACTTCGTTAAATATGTACATCCGGGGTCGGTCGAAATTCCGATCCCAACCGATAAACAGCTTTCGCCGAGAAAAAAAGTCGATTCAAGCATTAAATCTGATCTATATATACATATATACTATATGTATATAAATATTTAGGACGCTCCATCCTAATAAGTAAAAAAAAAAGAAACGTTGCCTTTTATACTGAATAATAAACATAGCACGTTCGTGTTATGAAATGCCATTTTAAAAATGCACCACCAATTTACTGAACACCGTTAAAAAAAAAAAAAAAAAACCGAAAGAAAGAGCAAAAAAAACTGGCATCCGATTTTTACGCGTCGCGCAAGATTGCGTTTCCGCGACTAAATAAGCAGAACGAGATTTCGTAACGGAGACGCTATTTTATTCCGACATCTCGTCGATCCCCTTTCACCCCCGATTCAATCAAACTTTCGTCGCTTTCCTCACGCACAATGGTCTCGCGACAATTCTCCGCGAATAAAGCTCCTCTCCGCCGCGATGACGGAAATCAATCGCGCGCCGGCACTTTCCTTGCACCTACACATGGTTCACGTACCTGTGAACGACGTTAGCCAGGAGATCGTTGTGCCGCAACCTGTAATCGACGTCCACCTTCTGATAGTTGACCGTCAGCGTGCCGGCGCGGATGCATCTCTCGTATTCCTCGGCTGGATGGGCGCGAAACTCCCTCGCGAAGACCTCCAGGATCTTCTCGCCGACCCATCGACCTTTCGTGAATGTCGTGAAGGTGAAGTAATACGGGTACACTTTACGGAGACCTGAAACACGCGCGTATACACGCGACGCCGTTAGGACCGATAAGAGAGAAAGATATAATATTGTAAGATAATTATCTTTGATTCCCGCGTACAAGTCGCCTTTAAATGTCAGGGGCTTAATGGGTTATATTGCGTTACGTTACGAAACGCAGTCGTGCGACGATGTGCCGCGGGAGCTCGCTTGCAATTAATAGAAGATTAAGCATCCAGGTAGCGTTAAATGAACGCGAGAGGAATTATACGATGTATATACGTGCAGAGGGTGCAATAGACACCGATGTTATTAAGCTTCTTGTTAAAATGAGCATCTTTTTCCTTCCTCTCTCTTTTTTTTTTTCTCTAACAAAATTTTTGTACTGTATTTTTTTCTGAAAATATTTTATTTTTTTAATACGCTACTGTGAATTACAGTTTTTTGATTCTTCGTGTAAATAAATAGTTTGTATAAACATTTTGATACTTATATTGTAATTAAATTTAACATTTAATGAATCTAATATTATATCAGTTTTAATATGCGAAGACATTTTATTTGAGCTGACAACACACAAAGTAAAACAAATTATCTTATGACAGCAAAGAGTGCTTTCCAGGGAAAAATTAATAAATCTTCCAACAAAAGTTCTTTCTCTCTATTAAATTATTCAACATGATATATTGAAAAATATTAATGAGAAATGCAGATGGTCATTTTTTTATAACATTACGGATTAAATTTTTACAACAAAGATCAAAAATAAGATATCTTGAAAACATTGGATTTGAAAAAATATGCTTATTTTTTTTGACGAGAAATAGTGTAACACGGTAACATTGAGTGACATTAAAAACTTTAAGTTATTACAATTATTTGCTAATCTATTACTGTCATCGTGTCACTCCAAGATAGCTTTTACGAACAAAATTTACGTCAAGATTAACATAAAATCGATCACGTCTTTCCTTTCCGCAGTCTCTCCCCGATAAAAGAAGAGAAGGAAAAAGAAAAGAAAAGGGCATATTTAAATTTTCTGGAACATCCTGTTACTCGAATAGCAATTGACTTGGAAATTCGTGCTTTAAACGTTCCCTTACGCAACGACTCCGCGATATTTCCGCGAATATTTCATTTTTCCTTCCTCATATTAAGTAGAAATTAATCCGTCGAGCCTTCCGTTATACCTTCAAACGAGATTTTCGCCCTACGAAGAGAAAGAGAGAGAGAGAAAGCGCGAGGCGGGTTGATTAATACACCGGGATAAGAGGAACAATTTTCTCAGTTTTCGCGAGGAAAGATCCTCGGAGAGGCGTTAATGAAAGATATACAGAGCGCTTTATAAATTCACGCGTGTCACGTCGCGTTCGATTAAATAACCTGATATTCCTCAAAATTATAATCTCCCGGATATTTCATCGCTCATCAGTTAACATTCTTCTCAGCATGAGCGTCCGCAGGATTCTTTTCAGGAGGGGGGCATGATTAAAATTGTTTACAAAAAAATAAATAATATGAATAATATTATAATATAATTATAAATTTAAAAAGAATCTAAAAATAACAAAATAAAAAAATTTAGAAAGAATAGAAAATTAAAACAATTTATATCTTTTATTAATATTATTCGTCTTTATTAAATATGAAGTACACTACAAACAATTCTAATAAGCCACATTAAGATATAGAGATATAAATTATGATATGTTAAGCGCTGTGAACTTTAACATATCGCTAAGATATTCTGTCAAAGTTCACAGCGCTTAACGTATTATATCATAATTTATATCTCTATATCTTAATGTGGCTTATTAAAATTGTTTTAACACTTGAAAAGGATCTAAATTTAAGGTCGAAACGTAGTGTACTTCATATCTAATAAAGACGAATAATATTAATAAGAGCCATGGTATTATTTTTTAAATTCTCTCTGGCGAAGAATACAAAAATTGTTTTAATTTTTTATTTTGTTATTTTTAGATTTTTTTATATTTATAATTATATTATAATATTATTCATATTATTTAAATGTATATTTATATTATTTTATATTTATATTATTTGTTTAAATAAGCAAATAAATTTTGAAAAAAGAATTTATTCAAAAGAAGAGCTTAATTTTTTACAAATTTCAAATAGAGGGCAAACGACCCTTCTTGCCTCCGCCTGCCTGTGCTTCTCAGTTTGTTGTTGTTCGGGATAATCTTATTAGCAATGTTGGAACGCGGGAAAATCGAATGATCGGAGAAGAGAAATAGATAGAAACGTTCCTTAAGTTCGTCGTCAGAATTTACGGGAAATACTCGTGAGAATTTTACAACGTCGAAATGGCTTCCCGACTGCCTGAAGGGGTGGTTTCCGCCATTTCGAATACACGTCTTCGCAGACGAGGGAGCGAGTAGTCCCTCGCTCTCGCGATTCCCTCCCTGTTGTTTCCTGGCTAACGGAAGAAGGACATAAATACCGAAGGGGAGGCTTGATTAATGTCCCGGCGAGCGCGTCCAGTCGAGTCAAAGGCGCTTTTTCTGCGATTTTGTATCGCTAGAACACGTCGTTTAAGAAACAATCCTCCCCCGTGGGGAATTAATGAACGTCTGACACTTGAAATGAAAAAACCTAGAATTACTCGGCGCTTTATATCGCAGAATAAAGTATAAACGACGTTGCATTAAAATATTAAAAAAAAAAAAAGATACATATATTTTTATCAAACTCTGTATACTTTTCTCGACGAAGAGAGAATCGTATTACCAGAATTTTTTAACCTAATATATATATATATGTATATTATATATTTTTCTTTCTGAGGGAAAGAATAAACTTATTCCAACTAGAGCCCCGAGTACTTGCGGGAATAGAAATAACGGAAGCGCGATCGTTATACAAAGCCTTTTCGAGTGGTCGAGGAAGGAAAATTGGCGGCGGAGAGCAAAAATACATTCGCGTCAAAGGGACCGCAGGCCGCGGTTTACGTCTGCGGAAAAGTCGAGAGATAAGCCAGTAAGAGCTGACCTGTGTAAAAATCCGAAACGGAACGACGGAGGAGAAACCCGGATAAACAGAAACGACCGCTCTTTTCCTCTCTCTCTCTTCGTCGCTCGTTACTTTAATTAAATTGCCCTCGACACGCCGGAACATTGACGACGCGTACTTTTGTGCCTCGTCCCTTCGAAGCAAGGGACAGGTCATCTGACAATCGAGATAAGAGAAGTAGTCACGATTGAGGGAGCGATTGATCTCTCTTGAGCTTTCAGAAATAGAACTGTCGGTTAGCCACCGATATAGGATTGCCAGTCTTTGCAATAGCGCCAATTCTTGGCCCGATATGTGGTAACTAATGTTTGGCCAATACTTGGTAATTTATTCTGGGCTGCTTGGTTGCGATATAATTAATTATCTTTTTTTTTGTAATAATCTAATCTAACTTGACAGTATTTCTTCGTCGTGATTATACTCGCATTGCGTCGGCTTGTTGTAATCGTTTTATTATTAATAAATATGTCGCAAAATTATTATAGACAAAAAAAGTATCGAAAATTAACCAAGTTAAAAATTAATAATGTGTGTTACAATGTTGAATGTGACAATGCTATTAAGAAAGAGGCCAATCGTAAAATCCTATATGGGCAAGAGAGCTTAATTTTCGATATAATTAATTATCTTTTTTTTTTTTAATAACCTAATCTAACTTGACAGTATTTCTTCGTCGTGATTATACTCGCATTGCGTCAGCTTGTTGTAATCGTTTTATTATTAATAAATATGTCGCAAAATTATTATAGGCAAAAAAAGTATCGAAAATTAACCAAGTTAAAAATTAATAATGCGTGTTACAATGTTGAATGTGACAATGCTAAGAAAGAGGCCAATATAAGGCCAATCGTAAAATCCTATATGGGCAAGAGAGCTTAATTTTCGAGAAGCGGAAGGAAATCGTCTTCGCGCGTAGGGAAGAAAAAAGAAACGAGAACGAAAGAAAACAGAAAATAATGTTTGGCCAATACTTGGTAATTTTTTCTGGGCCATGCTTGGTTGCGATATAATTAATTATCTTTTTTTTGTAATAATCTAATCTAACTTGACAGTATTTCTTCGTCGTGATTATACTCGCATTGCGTCGGCTTGTTGTAATCGTTTTATTATTAATAAATATGTCGCAAAATTATTATAGGCAAAAAAAGTATCGAAAATTAACCAAGTTAAAAATTAATAATGCGTGTTACAATGTTGAATGTGACAATGCTATTAAGAAAGAGGCCAATATTAGGCCAATCGTAAAATCCTATATGGGCAAGAGAGCTTAATTTTCGATATAATTAATTATCTTTTTTTTTTTTTTTTAATAACCTAATCTAACTTGACAGTATTTCTTCGTCGTGATTATACTTGCATTGCGTCGGCTTGTTGTAATCGTTTTATTATTAATAAATATGTCGCAAAATTATTATAGGCAAAAAAAGTATCGAAAATTAACCAAGTTAAAAATTAATAATGCGTGTTACAATGTTGAATGTGACAATGCTATTAAGAAAGAGGCCAATCGTAAAATCCTATATGAGCAAGAGAGCTTAATTTTCGAGAAGCGGAAGGAAATCGTCTTCGCGCGCAGGGGAGAAAAAAGAAACGAGAACGAAAGAAAACAGAAAATAATGTTTGGCCAATACTTGGTAATTTTTTCTGGGCCATGCTTGGTTGCGATATAATTAATTATCTTTTTTTTTGTAATAATCTAATCTAACTTGACAGTATTTCTTCGTCGTGATTATACTCGCATTGCGTCAACTTGTTGTAATCGTTTTATTATTAATAAATATGTCGCAAAATTATTATAGACAAAAAAAGTATCGAAAATTAACCAAGTTAAAAATTAATAATGCGTGTTACAATGTTGAATGTGACAATGCTATTAAGAAAGAGGCCAATCGTAAAATCCTATATGAGCAAGAGAGCTTAATTTTCGAGAAGCGGAAGGAAATCGTCTTCGCGCGCAGGGGAGAAAAAAGAAACGAGAACGAAAGAAAACAGA